GGTGGTCTGACCCCAGATGTCTTCCCTGCTCATGCAGGGAGCTGGACCCAATGATCCTTTGGGGTCCCTTCCAGCCCTATGATTCTATGAGCATCTGCCCTTCAGACTTCCCCCCCATCCTATACCTTATCCAGGCAAACAAAAACTTCTTTGCCCACTCTGGTGTGAGCAGATACAGAAATTTGCAGAAGGAACCTGTGCTTGCACTTTTATTCTGTCAGGGAATCCTATGCCTGAGGCTGGCCCATTGGGTTTTACAAGGAGGCGAGCCTGCATGGCTGTTTAGTTAGAAAGGACTTCATGAGGCCATAAAGTCCAGCCCCCTGCTCAAGGCAGGATCATCTCTGATTAAGCCATCCCAGCCAACGGTCTGTCCAACATGCTTTTGAAAATTTCCAGAAGTTTTCAGAAGAGTCCACAGTTTCTCTAGGCAGCTTGTTCTAATGCTTCATCCCCCTCATAGTCATTAAATTCTTCCTAATCTCTAAACTTTATTTCCTCCGCTCCAAATTGAGGCCATTGCTCCTAGTCCTGTCCCCTACAGCCATGGATAAAAGTATCTTTTGATCCTCTTTGTAATCAACCTTCAGGTATTCGAAGACTCTTAAATCCCCCATTAGTATTCTCTTTTCCAGACTAAATAACCCTAGTTCTTTCAGCCTTTCCTCGCAAGTCATACTTTCCACACCTCTAATCATTTTTGTCACTCTGCTGGACTCTTTCCAATCTGTCCATATCTTTCTTGAAGTCTGAGACCAAAAACTGGCATACTACTCCAAATGAGGCCTTGCCAATGCCAAGTAGAGTGGAAGAATTACTTCCCTGGATCGGCAAGTGACACTCCTGTTAATATGTATATTGTTGGCTTTTTTTGCGCAACAAGAGCACACTGCTTCTTATATTGAGCTTATGGTCCACTGTATCCCCCAGGTCCTTCTCTCCAGTTCTGTAGGCTAGGTAAATCTATTTGAGATAAAGTCTGTATTTGTGCATGCAATTATTCCATCCCAAGAGCAGGACTTTTCACTTGCCCTTGCTAAATTTCATCTGATTGATTTTTGGACCATGTCTCCAATTTATCCAGGTTGTTCCGGATCCTTGATCAAAAAGCATTCTCCTGGCGCACAGAAGACTTGCAGGCAGTGAAGACGGTGCTCAATATTAACTGATGGTTTCACTAGTGGAGCGGTAAAACTTTAATTTTACCTCTCCAATAGTGGTACTTCAAGGAAGGGTCACTTCAAGGCAGCCCTCCGGAGGAATGTTTTAGAAGGAAGGACCCACAAAAAATTTAGCTTAGATTTTAGCTTAGATTTAGTAAAAGTTGAACTAATGTATTTACTAGGAAAAGTGGTAAATGGTAAAAAAGGAAAAACTAGTAAAAAAACTGGGAAAAGATTAAATAGTAGAACAAGCAGTTTCCTGAGGGGCTGAACACAGACACAGCAAAAGCAGTAGTAACAGAACTGGATCATCAATGTTAAGCTCCTAAATCCAAAAGCAGGTGCCTAAATAAGTGGCCTGATTTAAGAGATTAACCAAGGCACTGGTGACCTCTCTGACAGAACAAAACTAGTCAGGTCAGGCCCTTTCTTCCATCTTGAAGGCTGTGTTTGAACACATAGCATCTGCAATCTCCAAGGCATCAAATGAGCATTCACACCATCCAGCCCCATCTTTTATCCTGGCTGGCTTTCAGTTGTTTCACCAGTATCTCAACAACAGGCACTAGAAACAGACACAGGTGCAATTGATGTAGCAGATGTTGGCTATCCACTTGTGGTAATTCTCTGATAATGCACCTTTTACATGAACCATGTGAATGCCTCACATTTCTTCAGCAGAACCAACCTCCAGGGAATGAGCATAATTGCTCTTATAATGAGTATGGTCTACTGAATTAAAAATGCTACCTTGCTCTCTTTCCCCCTTGCACCATGGAGTGTTTTTCGAAAGGCAGTTGTTAGGGTAAAATTAAAACTAGCCAACTGTCATAAGTTAGTCTCTAAAAAAAAAAAGACTGAGTTTTAAGTCAAAAGTAAGCTTTTCGAAGACTGGTAAAGTGGGAAAGTTGGCTACCTGGGGAAGGCAAAACCTCATTTGTTTAGCTGAACAGTCAAAGGTTTCAGGTATGTACAAAATGAAACAACACAACTGTATTCAATGACAACCATGAGAGCACCACCCAGTGGGGTAAAAGGGAAGTGGAAAAATGAATCAACTAGAACAGACGAACCAGGATGTCATTTCTCGTGTTTGACCAGCAGAAATCACCTCCGATTTCTCACTGCTCCGTGATTTTAGAGATGCAGGGCCAACATGCTCTTACATAATATTTTTTTTAAAAAAATACTCAAGTGTCTCAGGAGTCTGTATCTTCACTAAAAGTCAACAAGATGTGTTAGTTTTTGAAAATATTGCCTTGGATCTTCCAGTCAGGACAAAGCTGAGGGTCCCATCTGCTGGCAGGCTCCAAACATGATCCTGTAACTCTTGCAAGGGGGCCCAGGGTCCTGGCCCAATTCTAACCCTAGATAAATTTTGTAGTCAACAAATACCCCGCACACTGAAGCAACGTTTTCTTCACTCCCCATTCTAAGCTGCTGCTGTGTTCTCTATTAGAGAGCATTCTACTTCTGCCAGGTGAAATGACCTATAATCCTTCTGGGGGAAGAGACTATATATAACTAAATTACCTTCTCTGACTGGTCTTGCAGAAGTACTTTCTGGTATAAACATTCACTTCTTACCTGGACCAAAATAATGCATCATTGCAAGTGTGACCTGCTGTTAGGGAAAAAATCCATGTTAATTTTCACATTTAAGAGTCTTTTCTCCACCCATTCCAATATATGGAATTGATAGAAAGTTAATTCTTTGAGCAGTGCTAAATACAAAACATCCAGAAGAGGCCAGGTCTAGAGAGGGTCCAGAGACTAGAAGACTACCCTTAGTCAATGAAGACTCAGCTTCAAGGTAGTTTGTTCCACTGAATAACAAGAAACAAAAGCATTACTTTCCTTCCCATTTTCTGTCCTGTAAACCAACACACTTGGGGCTTGATCCCATGCAGCATTTGTACTAACTGCCAGACACAGAAATACAAAGAGAAAAGGTGACATGCGGGATCGGGCACATCAGAGTGCCCAGAGCTGCATTTGCAAGTAACAAATCACTCTACATGTCTAACAAAGGAGGAAATATCTAGGTCAAGTGTGTTGGAGAAAAACAAGTATTATGTTTCTATCTCCTCCTCCAAACAACCTGCCTTTTCAACCATGCTTTTTTCATTAAAAAAAAAGAGCTCACCCCACAGTGCAGAGGGAAGTAGCTAGCACTTAACGTTACCCACACCCACAGATAGCCCCTGCTCACATTTCTGGTAAAGCCTAATGCCTTTAAATGCCATGTTATGGATCTTGCTGACCTGTTAAGTCCCTTGAATGGCTGGACCACCCTTTGCTTCAGGTGTTGCTTCCTAGACTACCAAGCTAGATCTGCTTTTGTACTCTTGATTGAAGAAACCAGGTCCAAGGAAGGAGCTCTCAAGACCTGTACTTCTATATATAAAGTGTGCTCCAAGTAGAAATCCTCATATCACTGAAGGACTAAGCATAGAAATTTTGCTTACAAGACATAGCTAAAGAGGCAAACAGCTAGTGTGGTCTGGGGTGGCTCTATCAATGTATTTGTAAGCACAGAAAACATGTTCCTGAGGTCCATAATGATGAGTGTATTAAAGACAGAACAAGGAAGGGAGCAAAAATAAAAGCATTTGAGAGAGAAGGGAGAGGGGGGTGGACAGAACTGGAAATTGGGAGGCAGATGAGAGCCAGTACCTTTCTCCTACTTGACAAAAAAAGAATAAAAACTCACATGCTTTATACCCCACTGTTGATAATCATGGTATTTCACTTGACCGTTACACCAAAAATGAAATGTGGCTGAGCAACAATATAATTTAAAGTGGTTTCAAGAGGATGAGTGACTTTGCACAGACTATGCAAATTGGTTTCAGCATTCACAAATTACCCATGGTTATTTTTGCTTTTGTTCCGAGATTCAATTTACCTGTTGGAGAAAAAAGAAAGCTATGTTTTTTGGAAATTCAAGCCACGCTCTCCCCCTTTCATATATTCTGCAAAGCAGTATCGCACAAATGCATGAAAAAACATCTTAATTACTTTGACTCTACCTGCCTAGGGACTATGCCATTTACTCATGCCATTTATTCTAAATGTGATTCATCATGTGGAAATTGGGATTCCATTAAAATCCAAAGCAAGCTACTTGTGAGAGAGGAATGTGATACATGTCCATCAGCTGCAAGTATGAACAGAACACTAAAGTGTTGTTATACAAATGAACACACAAAGGTGAAATAGTAGATGTTTACTCTGTTTATAAGTAAACTGAAGACATTCAAATTCCAACGCACTTTTTAAAAAATATGATTTCCTACTTTGATTTATTTTCCTTTAATAACACAGTTTAGCATTTCAAAGTTTTGCATTCTACACTCTTAAACGCTGTCCTTGTTTATTAGCATTTAAAACACAAAAAAGACATAGCAAGACCTCCAAACACAAATAAATACCAAAACACAATATACAATAAACTGAAATACAACATATAATAATGCTATTGGAAAATTAAGACATGTCGCTAATTTTTTTTTCTCATTAGCAACATGGTTATTGCTGAGCAATAAATTACATTTTAAAGGTCTTTTTTTCCCTTAAAAAAAAGTATGAGAACCACTGGTTACCAGATCACTTGCACTGTATCCGTACAGCTATTGATAATTAAGACAGGCAGAATATACACAATCAAATGAAGTTGGCCTTCTTTGGTCTTTGTTTTTGGAACATAAAACTGAACACAAGAGGTGTACCATTCACTGAAGAGTATGAGACGAAAAGTAGTTACACAAGTTTTTAAAACATTAATTTATACATTATTCTTGACTTCTGATGTATTTCCTATAGGTTTTTTAAAAATAATTTCTTGGAAACAATATCAGCTTTTTAATTTTCCAATTAGTATGCTATTTTGTGCATCTTAAGGTTATCCTACTTGTCTAAGATAAATGGACTTATCCTGTAGCCCATCATCTCCAAATGGGATGTTCTTCACATTCTCTAGTCAACACTAAGTCATTGGAGTTTTTATATCATCTATAAGAAATCCTGAACCTTCCCTTTTTACTCTATAAAACCCAAAAGTTATGTAATATAAACACAATGCCTACAAGGAAAACATATGGATGGTATGGTACATCAGCAATGATAAAAGCTGGATTTTTTTTTCCATTCCACAAGTACAGACTATACAACTCTCTGCCAGTGACGCAGGTCATAGTTGGAAAATGTGTCCCTTCATACAAGAGCTATACCTGAATTCAAAGCTCAGAACACTATGCAGGAGGATGACCTTTACAGATGGTAATATGCTGGTTTATCTCAGTAACCCTTAGACAGAGTCAAATTTTATCACTACGCATCACATTGCCAGCAACGGTGCGTGTAGACACTGGCATTGTTAAAGAAGTTAAAAAGTCCTTGCAGAACTGGCAACCAAATTAAAAGTTTAGTTCCAAAGGACCAAAACATGAACAGCAAACAACTAGAACAGTAAACCCTTCCCTGAAAGGGTGGATAAGTAAGCCACAGAGTTGGAATCCAGACCTAAACTTCACAAACATTTTGAGATGTTTTGATCTGGGATTTCGAGTCAGGTGCATCTCCATGAAAATTTAGATCTTATCTGAACCCTAAGGAACTAATCCTAACTTGGAAAAAATACAGCCTAGTATCAACACTAAGATAATGAAATGGAAGACAAAAGCTGCATTCTTGCTGATAAATTAAAAGAAAAATAGGAATAAACAGACCCCTTGTGTGCTGTATCTCTCAACTCTTCTAAATCTTATAGGATGCTCCTAAACTTGCATCCAAAAATTCTCCCTAACCCTCCTCCATCTGGCTCTTCTCAGTTGAAACTTGGATTAGAAGGCAGGAAATAAGAATAGTTAAGCCCTCTGTTTTTTTGGCTGAACAAAACAGATTTAGAAAGGGTCACAGTATCGGCCAAGAGAACCAAAATTAATTCACTTTACAAAGTTGCCCAGATGTGAGCAACATCAAAAGAAAGACTCGACTTACTCTACTGGGTTATCCCACAAACAGAAACCGGAAGTTGAGTTTGTCTGCTATTATGTACACGAGTGCTGTACTATCCCTTCAATACACCAGTTGTTAGTCCTGTGAAGCAGAGAATTGGTACGGTGTGGACAAGTGGGCTGTTCCATACATATGCCCCCAAGTCATGACAGATTGTGTGTTTAAGTCTAGCCCTTTCAGTCTTGACTATGGGTTTTCAAGATGTGTCACTTCACTTCTCTCAGCTCCATTTAGAGATTACATGCAGTCCAGTGGTTTGAGCACAGCACGAGGAAACTGGAACCTCTGATGTCATCCTGGCTCCGACAGAAACCCTGTTTATGGCTCTGAACAAGTGATTTAAACTCTCTCATCCTCAATTACCCATCTGTAGAATATAAGTAAGGATTAGTTACTGTTGTAAAGAGCCTTGTAGATGAAAAGTGCTCACTGTACTGGACAAAGCACTAAGAATCAAAAATTGAGGCTGACTTTTACCAAAGTAACCAGGAATTTAAATCAACCAGAGCCAAGAGGTATTGGCTGAAGTAGCTATAAGAAAGCCAGGAACAGGTCCAGCTGCTTTACCACTGTTTTAGGTTTTCAAATTATAAAACAAATCCTTTCCAACAAGGTGTCCACCACCAATTTTTCTTTAAAGGAGAATGAACCAAGTGAAAGACATGTGACCTAGTTGTCACTCCACAGAACTTTCCAATAAGGTTTTCAGGAGGACTCAGTAAGCTCCCTTGGTGAGACGAGGCAGCTGTGATGGGCAGTGGGCTAGCTAGGTCTACAAACCTGGAAAGAGAATCCAAGGTTTGCAATTATCCACAATTCTCCCGTAACAGCAGCAAAATATATTTGGCACCACTAGACCAGGAATAATTGGAGGGCTGGAGTTATTTTAATAATTTCTACATAAAGAAATGACTCTTTGCCTGATGGACAAACCTGGAATATATATTTATATATATAAACATTTTTAAAACAGTGAAAACTAAGAGATTAGGTTTATAATGAATATCTTTTTCTTTCCACCTATTTATATATTTGCATAGTTAACACAGATCAAGGCATCAAGATTGCAGTAACGTTTTATACTATCACGAGGTACAGACTGCTACTTTTCTGATAATTCCCTGCAAACTTCTGTCTAGCATTGGACAGAACCAATACTCCTAGAAACTGCATTGTTTGTGAAACGCCTATTCCACATGATGGGATATAGATACAAATAGGTGGTTTTTAAACTCAGTCCCAACATGCCATAATCAGGGCAGGTTGAGCAACTTGAGCACTACAATCGTAACCTAACATGCATGGGTGGGGTTCAGTACCTGCTACAACTGACACAAATCTCCATTATCCTTTATTTGAGAGATTCACCAGGCACAGAAACAGGCACATTTCCTATCTTCATCTTTCCTTTTCCAAACAGAAAAATCAATTTGGAAAAGGAATTAAACTGCATCTCATATGTATAAGATAGCTAGCATGTCACCCATTAAACGTCACTATTGTTAAATTTATGCCATCCTTTTCTGTTTTCCTATTGCACATTCTCTTTGAGAAGAACAACAAAGTTACAGTACAAGGCTGAAATCAACATTGCATATTTAAGTCAGCTTCGACTTAAAAGTTGTGAAGGTGTACCATGTCAACAACAGCTGAAACAAGATTCCTTTACTAAGATTAAAGAAGCAATGCAGGCATGGTCACGCATAAGGATCTCAGATTAGTCCTTAAACATTGAAATAGTTTCATCCTGTTTAAAATTTGAGACTGTAAATAACGTATGTGTATTATTGGTAATATACAGCCACAAAGGCAACCTCCAACTTACGGTATATAAGACCCTTTCACTAGATGTAAAGATAGCCGTGGGAGATGCTTATACATCAAGTTGGAGAGTCACTAGTATAAAACAAACAGCAACTGCACTTGGCTGTGCATTACTAAGGAGAACTAAACTGTGGATAATGACAGGATGCTATTGAAGAATCCTTCTCTATGGTTATTATAAACATTGTCACACGAATGCTGTGATACCCCTCTAGTGCACTCATGCAACTCCAGAAGTTAATGGGGTTTCATGGGTGTACCTGAGGGCAGATTATACAAGGTCCCCAAAAGATTTCTAAATACTTGGGACAGAAATATATTTTTAAAAGGTATATTTGGGGAAAAAACATTGAATAATTTTACCCAGTCCCCAGGAGTGAAGCACAATGCATCTTTTCACCTCTATTTAGACTATAGAGAATGGTCTTATTTTCACTAAATGCTACATACTCATTACTGGAAAGCTGAGGGAATGCATTTCTGCATATGCAATATAAGTCTCACAGCTTAGGGATATTCAGTGGGTTTTGCAATGAAAGATTTTAGTCAAGGCCTTGCGTATTCCACAAGAGGCTACATGGAAAATTGAACTAAGATTCCTGGGTTCTGCAGTATGCAGGAGGCCTGAAGATCTTCTGCCAGCTTCACAGAGTTTTTAAAATTACTAATAAACCCTAGTAGGCCTCCATTTTATTTATTTTGATATCAAACAATGCACATGCCAAAACACATTTGTACTGAAAGCAGGTTACAGCATTATAGAAGCTGTGCAAGTGAACCTAGCTGTTTTGGCAGATGGGGCTTTTGGCACTTGGGGAGGCACGAAAAGCAGTTTGAGATCTGCAGTTCACCAATGCTGGCTGATGTTTCGGCTGCAGTGATCAGCAGTCAAATATTAACCATGTTGACATTTAATCTTCATCAGAAGATTCCAAGTGAATATCCCACTACGATATGCTATTCAGACCTTTTAGAGCTACTGTTTTAGGCTTTCTGCAGACTCAGGAAGACTACATTATTATTTTGCACTTTGCTCATATTTTCAAATTCTCTTATCAACCACAAGGGTTAGAAGCCATTAAAAATACAAGCCTGGATTCAGGACCACAATTCTATTGCAAAAGTGGGAGTCTGCAACCACAGATATGCAGAACACACTGGGCCCAGATTATAATACCCATCTCTCCAGTCCCAGATTCAAAACAGGATATAAACTGTCTTCACATGGCCATACGATCTCATTTAAATTTTGCAGTACATGCATTCGCAATGGGAGAAGAGTCCTTTGGACATTTCCACTTGGGAATCCTGTTTTCAGTAAAATTCTGTGATGCACATACACAAAAGCTCAGCTGCCTACATTCGCCGCTACTGAATGATACACAAGTCAAGTAAATCCTTACCCTAAAGCATAAGTGATGGGTTTACATATGCAGCCTGCGTGAAACTGCAAGTGCCATATATGTTTTTTTTCTGCAGAAGTCCTCCTTCTGTGCCAGAAATTAAATACTAGCACATGCCTCCATATATTAGGTTGCACCTATTGACACCTTTGTACCATAAAGGGAATACAGTACCTGGACAATGGAAGGCAAGAAAAGGAAGACGAGTTGCTACTGAATGTTTTGGCTGCCAAGAAGCAGGCAGTATTGTGGCAGGTGCCTGGAAAACCCATGAAGACCACTCAGCATGCACTGTATATTTGTAAGAACTTCTTGCAGGCACTGCGTGTGAAGGCACAGCCATAAAAGACAATGGCAACAAAGACAAAGCTGAACTACAAAGGCATGAATTCAACTGAGCCCTCAATGAAAATTGTGGCTATGCCCCCAGAAGTGGAAAACTGAATGGACACAACCCGACAGCCAAGAATGAGGCGTGCAATTCCCTTTCAAGGTTCACAAAAGGGAAAAGAGAACATATTTGTACCAGTTCTCTCCACTGAGGCATACCTCGGATATTAAGAAGCACCAAATGGCTGATATATAGTCAGGTTATGCCACTAAGTTAACTTGTCTCAGACTATTAAAAAAGGAAGAATCAGCCAGCATGATTCAGGGCTGGGAAATGCTTTCCACTAAAGCTCAGGCAGTTATGATGAAGGAACCTGTGCTAAGACACTTGTCAGCACTACCATCTGTGAGTGATTTCAATAACAGCTTCTTAGCATTCTCAGACGGGCCATTTCAAAGTACAGCCACCTTTCATACGTAGGCATGGGAGGAAGCATGACTCCTTCCTTCACGTTAGCCTGGGGGGGTGTTCTCAAAGTCCAAGCTCCATAGGAGCACTGTGCATAAAGTTTTGGCACCTGAGTAAGATGGATTCCACCATGGTCAAGCCATAGAAGCTCCGGTAGCCAAAAATGGACTTTGGCTTCTATTTTACATGTTGCAAATTCTAAGGGCTCTGAAGACAAGGGTACACATTATGTCTGAAGTCCAGTTAAGCTACCATTTCAGATATTAGAATTAATCTGAATAAAAAGCTATGGTTTATAAGCAGCACATCACACCTAAGGCACATGTATGCATGCAAGCCACCATCTCTCCATTAAGACATTGCTAATTATGTCCTCAATAAGAAGCAATGACTCCTAGTACAAAATGAACATACAGGATCATGAGTGGCTTTTTTTTCTTTTTTAAACATTACACCTCCTCCCCAATACTGCAAATACTATGTGTTGCACATTTATGCTGTCAGCAATATATATAGCTTGATTGGAAAGCATGGGGCAGAACTTTAAAAAAATGTACAGGATTCCGTTTAGAACTCCAAAGTTCAACAAATGCCCTAGTTTAGGGTGAAAACAATTATAAATCTGATAATGATGCACAGCATCCATGAGTGATTTTTCCTTAATTTTGAAATAGTGTCATTAACTACGACATATATTGTAGGTTTACATTTCTAAAGAGAAATAACAGCAATAGTTGAATAGTTTCGTTTCCTATCACAAGTGATAACCAGTGTTTTGATATCTTCTATTTTTCTTCCAAGAAATATCAGTCTATCAACAGTTGTAAAATAAAATGTTTTCTGTAACAATAGAACTTTAAATAAAAATATGATTCTGATTTAGATATTTTAAGAAGACATGGATATTTGTCAAGGTCTTCTGACAAAGTAATTATTAAAACAGAGACCAGGTGAGGCCTTAAAAAGACAATATACTATATTTCAGACAAGATTGCACTTAGTTTTTCAAAGTGATAATATCATAATTGAAACATTACTTCATCATTTCTTCTTTTACTTAACATGCTGACAGTTTCCCTCTAGCCCACATGTGAACTTTTTTTGTATTCTAGCTTAAAGGAAGAAAAGTCAAGTAATTTATTCAGCATATACTGTATGTGTCTTTTCACTTCCAAATGACTAGATCATTAATAATTTAAAAAAAAAGCCTCTCTGACCGCAATCATTATCCTCACGAGGAATAAACGATTCTTCAGAGTTTAAGTGTTGCTAGTTCTATTAAAAAATATACCATGGTATGATTTCTTAATGTGTTGCTACTTTCGCCATTGGACCCTAAGCAGTTATGCCTTCAAACTCTTCCTTCTGTTCCACAAAGTGGTTCTCTGAGCTTTAGGACGGTTGATTGAAGACAAACTGATATAAAACCCCCAAATGGAGTTGTCTTCTCTTTAATCTGTCTCCCTGGCTATATGTCAGGGGTCTGGTAGATCCGATGTATCCACTATGACTTTAATAAAAATAGTATCATCTTTAATATACGTTCCATTTTCTAGAACAGTTTGAGCCACAAAGACTGGGCAACCAGATGCAATGTTCATTTCTCCAGTAGGCTTCTTGAAACTACTGCTGTTTGGGTCTGGCTTGAAAGCATCTCCTAAGTGACGGCGAGACGGTCCTTGATCCATTAGCATGAGAGTCACTTTCTGTTTGAATGGCCAAGGAAGCAATGCATCATATTCTCCACGCATTATGACAAAAAACAATGACAAGTGCGTCCCTTTTCCCATGCCATCACCATTAAGGTAAACTCTGGCACACATTTTATAGCCGAAGTATCCAGTATAAAAGGGCTGGCTGTACAAAGACAGCGTCTTTCCCATCACGGCTTCTTGCTTTCGACGTTTATAATCTCGAATTTTCCAAATTAATACTCCATTGTAACTGGCAGTTTCTAAAACTTGGAATCGAAGGTCCATGTCAGCCAGCCGAATATCATGAACACTCAGCATTTGATCGTGTCGAGTTAGCTGCGTCTCCAGCAGACCTAACAGAACATGGGAAATGTGCGTAAAGGGGGTAAAAAAGAAAAAGACATAGATTTATAAATCAGTATCATCAGCACTCTTATTGCATATAGTAAAATCTTGTTTTAAGAACCAAATCATAGTTAGTCACCTTTGTGACAATTTCCACTGATAACTCTGCCATAAAGTAAGTAACGATGTTATTTGGGTCTTTAACGTAAGAGAGGAAACTGAGGTCACACACCCGGTAAAAATTTCAAGAATTTAAATGATCCAGTACAAACACTGTTCAAAGCACTGTGCCATAAAGTCATAGATATTGCTGCCTAATCAGTTCTTATCAGTGTTTACTAGCAAAGATTGCTACTACAGAAGCCTTCAGAAATGACTATTAAACATATGTGATCCCATCTTAATGTAGGAACATCCTGAATTGCACAGAATCTTTTTTTTTCTTTACTTTTTTTTGTTGTTGCTATTAATCCTGGATGAAAGATCAGACAATGTTATATTACAAACTAAAAGTGAAAGTTCAGGCTATGCTCATAGTTCCATAGTGCTTAGGGTCAGAAGGGACCTAAACAGATCATCAGGTCCGACCCCCTGCCTGGGCAGGAACAAGTGCTGGGGTCATAACACCCCAGCCAAATATCTATCCAGCCTCCTCTTGAAGACCCCAGAGGTAGGAGAGAGCACTACCTCCCTTGGGAGCCCATTCCAGAGCCTGGCAGCCCTAACCATAAAGTAATGCCTCCTGATGTTCAGCCTGAACCTTCTCTTTAACAATTTGTGGCCATTATTCTTAGTAACCCCAGTAGTGCCTGGGGGAACAGAGCCTCAACTAATTTCCACTGGTCCCCCCGGTGAGTTTGTAAATGGCCACCAGGTCCCCTCTCAGCCTTCTCTTGTGGAGGCTGAATAGATTCAGGCCATTTAGCCTCTCTTTGTAGGGCCTGACCTGCTGCCCCTGGACCATGCAAGTGGCCCTCCTCTGGACCCTCTCAAGGTTAGCCACATCCCTCTTAAAGGGTGGCGCCCAGAACTGGACGCAGTACTCCAGCTGTGGCCTGACCAGTGCTGCACAGAAAGGGAGGATCACCTCCCTGGACCTGCTTGTGATGCATCTGTAGATGCACAACAAGGTGCAGTTAGCCTTACTGACCACTTCCTCACATTGGCAGCTCATGTTCATCCTGGAGTCAACAATGACTCCAAGGTCCCTTTCTGCCACTGTGTTGAGAAGGGTGTTCTCCAGCCTATAGGTGTGTTGCTGGTTCCTTCTCCTTAGATGCAGCATCCTGCACTTGTCTGTGTTTAACTCCATCCTATTTTCATCCGCCCACCTCTGTAACCAGTCTAAATCTAGCTGGATTCTGTCCCTCCCCTCCAGCATGCCCACCTCGCCCCACATCTTGCTCTATTGTGAATAAATATTCTTCTGCAACTGTGGCTGAGTGCTTTTTTATTTGCAGGTTCTTTTTAATGGCTCTTTTGTTCTCTTCTCATGGAAAATAGTATTTGTCACTTTTTTCCTTTGTATTTTCCTACTCTGTCAAAGCTAACAAAAGCAGGGAGTGTACAGAAGTAAATGTACTCACAAGTGGCAGACTTTTTATTAAAATTATCTTTACAAAATAATTTCCCTTTGACCCAAACAATATAGTTTGAACTCTTAAGAGCACTCTACACTCTACTGCTAACTTCTGGTTTTCACCACCCTGTTCAAAAAGTAGCAATTGACCTTATTACTCAAACAGATCTCATTCAGCTTCTTGAATCAAACATTCACCTTTATTGGGACATAAAAGTGTGTCAGCCTATACCTAGAAACACATTTTCAAGTGAATAAATATGGTAATGATCTATTACGGGCAGAACATTAACCAAAAAAAGACTTGTCAATACTTTAAACTCAGCTGAGAAAATACTTGCAATTAAGTTCCAAGTGTGATCAAGGTCATAGTCACAAGAAAGTAAGATGGGAGTCAAGTCTAAGAAACAGCCTGTAAAGTAGGGTCATGCCATTAACAAAAAGATTAGGCACATAATTCCCTTTCAAGATACTGAACGGTCAACATTATTGATGTTTTCAACAGAGAAATCACAAGACCAACAAAAATTGCTCATCTGCCTTTCTTTTAGGCAAAAGTAAAAGCTGCTGGGTCATCCTTCACTCCATCATCCTTATACTTACTAGTATTTCGTGCTCCTTGCCCTGTGGTTTTATCAACGCTCTCCAGCTCTGTCACTCTGTTCTGAAGGGACTCCACACTGCTCTTCATGCTGTCGGCCTCTTCCCAGTTCTGTCGGAAGGGACGGATTTCTTTGTCCAGTTCTTTCAATTTCTCTGCTTGACTGTCAATCACTCGCTTTATGAAACAGTAAATTAGAATCAAAAGAAAAGACAACTACCATGAAAAGCTCGAAAGAATGAAAGTTATACGAGGTTATGTATGAACGACAAAAGTCACTTACACAGGTTGTAGCCATGTTGGTCTAAGGACATAGGCAGGCAAGGTTCTTTGGGTAGATGCAAGATCTTTTATTAGACCAACTAAATAGTTGGAAAAAAGTTCTTTGCAAGCTGTTGGGTAAAAGCTTGCAAATAACGTTTTTCCAACTATTTAGTTGGTCTAATAAAAGATCTTGCATCTACCCAAAGAACCGTGACTTACTCACACTCCCACTCACTTGTGGGTCAAGCATTATAAAATAAACCAAAATAAACCTTGGTATATATAATCTAGAAGAACAGGATTAAAACAAGAACTCACAACTTTTACTATTGGTTCTGCCATAATGAGCAGCTGTACAGATTTGGTAAGTCACTTAACCCCTCAGGTTTCCACAAAATGTGAAATGGAGATAACAACTTACTTCACAAGAAGTAAGCCTCAATGTTTGCACACTGCTTTCTTTAGAAACCAAACACATGATGGAAGTGCTAAGAATTCTTATGAGAGTACTGTAAGGATCTCCAAAGAAAAAATCATTTTAAGAAAAGAGTAAATTTCTTTATTTTGGTCCCTGGCTACAGATGCTCATTTTAACTTAAGTGTAATATGCAAGGATATTATAGGCCTCACAAAGAAAGTCTGTCAAGTTTGATTTGGGCGAGAGCTTCACAAGTGCTTTGAGCTTAGGTGCCCAAGGCCTGTTATATGTCAGAACTCATGCTCCTACTGCCTTAGCCTCTTTGAAAATCCCACCCTTTCTTCCTAAATGTAAAGAGTCCAGGCATCCTGAAGGTGCCCACTGGTTCAACGACTGTTTTCTTAAGTTATGCTTAAGAAATGCAAAAAAGTATTCTATGCCTCGGTAGGTACTTCATCTGATTCTTAATATCTTGGTAAATATGTTAATGGAAAAAACTGGGAAAGAAACAAACCTAGTGAATGCTGGCTTGCATCCATAGATGCTTCTCAAGCAAATCCCAGGACGTCATTCTCCCCTTGTACTTGGCCTTGGTGAGGCCGCAGCTGGAGTACTGCGTCCAGTTTTGGGCTCCACAATTCAAAAAGGATGTGGAGAAGCTTGAGAGTGTCCAGAGAAGAGCCACACGCATGATCACAGGTCAGGAAAACAGACCTTACGACAACGGGCTGAGAACCATGGGGCTCGTCAGCCTGGAAAAGCACAGGCGCAGGGGTGAGCTGATGGCCACCTCCAAGTTTATCAGGGGTGACCACCAGTATCTGGGGGAACGTTTGTTTACCAGAGCGCCCCAAGGGATGACGAGGTTGAATGGTTATAAACTACTGCAAGACCGTTTCAGGCTGGACATAAGGAAGAATTTCTTTACTGTCCAAGCCCCCAAGGTCTGGAACAGCCTGCCATCGGAGGTGGTTCAAGCACCTACATTGAACACCTTCCAGAGTAAATTGGATGCTTAACTTGCTGGAATCCTATGACCCCAGCTGACTTCCTGCCCTTTGGGCGGGGGGCTGGACTCGATCTTCCAAGGTCCCTTCCAGCCCTAACGTCTATGAAATCTCCACTACATGGATTTAAATCCAATGCAAGAATAGCAAAATAGTTTATACTGGGAAGCTAAATTTAAAGCAGCAGGAATTTTAGCCAGAACCCCATATTTAATCAGCACGTTTAATTGACAGTAAAAGTATCTAAGACAAGAAACTACTTTTGCTACCAGCTACAGTTCAAATTTCCAAAGTGACCTTCCAGTTTATCAGCTCCAGCAAATTTAAAAATATTTTTTCACTTCTAAAAAAATGTCATTTAGGAAGATGACAAAAAAAAAAATGACCAGGTTGGCTCAATTTAATTTTTGTTTGCTTTCTAGATAACTCCATCATTAATTCAATATTCTTTATAGGAAAAACCCTTCCACCTCAGATTGCCTTCACTCCTCCTTTAGGATTCGTTTTTAATTATTCACTTTTGTTACAGACTGCAAATCTGTAATGATTAAGCAAAGTTTCTAAGTTCGACAGCCTGCTAACAGAACTATCACATTTTATAAGTGTGGGTTTTTTTCCTGCTCCAAGTTTTCTAGAATAACCATTTTTTTTTTAAAGCCAATGCTTCAAAACAGGCATGTATCAACCTTGAAATTAAGATTCTGTGAAGCAAAGCTATGTCCTGAATCAAGAATGCATGCACTGTGATCTCATCAAACAGACTGATATTATGGTGCCTGGGGATGCTAATCACAAACCACAAATACACAGCTTTATTTCATCCTCTGTTCTAGGATGAAGGTAGTAGGGGAGTAAAGTAGAGACCAGTCATCAGCAATGAGTGTAAAAAGGAGCACAAGCCAGATAGCTTGCATTCATTTTATAAGAACAACCAATAGGCTGTGGCCAGGAGTTTGCAGACTGAGAGGTGTATATAAATGTAAAGGGTACCTAGGCCCCCTGCACACATGCAGGTAAAAGGCGCCATGGGATCTAAGGCACGATTCACACAATCACACCTCCTGACATGCTGCACGTTCATGGCAGGAGGTACGACTGTGGGATCCCATTAAGCCTTATTGCCAGTGCAGGGGGAGCCCGATCCCAAACTCTCCTCGCACCAGCAAAAAGCAAGCTCCCACAGCTGGGAGACACATGCACCCTGATGGAGGGGCTTCCAGCTGTGGGGGCACCTCATACACACCCAAGGCTGGACATTTTCCCTGACCCAGGAGTGCATGAAACCCCCAGGGCCCAGAGGATCACTTCAGCAATGATCCCTTAGCCCAGTGGTGCGGGGAACCACCGGGGCCAGAGGATTCTTAGGGCTGGGGGAGGAGGTGAAACCCCCAGACCCTGGGGACCATGGCTGCCATGATCTTTAGGGCTTGGGGGCACAGAAAACCCCTAGACCCTAGGGATTGGAGCTGCCACGATTCCTAGGGCTCAGGGGTTCCATACTGGACATGGTGCACTCCTGCTGCTGGAAGCCTGGTCAGCTGATGGGCTCCTAGCCACAGGGGAGACCCACCTACACATGCAAATTAAAGGTCTATAGAAACCAGTTATAAAGTTAGTACACTTTTTGAGGTCTAACTTTATAGCTAGCTGGAGCTTTTTAATGTGTGATGACTACTTTGCACAAATAGCTGGTCTCCAGGTAACTGCACAATTAACCAGGTAATTGCACAATACCTGTAACATGTAGAGGGGGCTGTAGAAGCTTCCCCTTTTTATACTTGCACACACCATCATTGGCAGGACCTATCTTTTTGTTAGTGTTTGTACAGTGACCCGTGGCAGGCAGCCTCGATCTCTGACTGACGCCAGTTGGCAGTAAACGTTATATCAACCAATAAGCAAAACAAGGAGCAGCTGTCAGATGAATTAAGTGCCAAAAGAGCAAAAATACCGAAAAGCTACAAGCAAGGTTTTTTTCCTAGAAGAAAAGGGACAAAATGGAAGAACTTTTTAATATTGCTCTTCAGAAGCAACTTTTTTTCCCTTACTAAGCTATTTTTAATACCCTATTCTTGCCCAAAATACGCTCAGGTTTAAAAAAAAACTACGGCTTTGTTTGTTGTCAGACAGTGGATTATATTTTATCTCCCAAAATTGTTCCTGAGAATACCAGACACAAGGAGTCATCAGAAATCAATCTATATTCCACTAAAAAAGGCACTGGGATCTATATATTTTTCATTTACAGGGAGGCAGAGGCATCTCACACTGGGAAATACTGACATACTAAATCTGAATTTAATGCAGCAGTGGAGAATTTTATTCTCTCTAATTACACTATTAAAAAGCACGCAGATGTCTCACATTGTACTCATAAATTTTCAAGTAGGTATCAATTTTCTGTATGGGACTTTCTATTCCAGCAACTGACCTCTCTAGGTTATTAACCCACACAGCTATGTGTGTGCAGTAAACCATACATGTTGCTTCCAGATACTGATTTTTGTCTGGTGGTTATTGTGTTGTTGATACTCGTTTGCTATGCTTTCTGTTATATTAAAAAAAAAAATTATATATTATTTTTGGGCCAGCCCCATTCTTATCTCTAAAACTAAAACATTCTCCAAAACTTTGGAAGCAGGATTCCAAAGGGTTCTTAATATTTCATAAGAAAGGAAAGACATATGTTTTCAATTTATGACATCAAGAAGAGATAACTCACTTTGCCATTATGACTAATTTTTTTTCCCTTCTAAATATGGTAGTTGAATTGAAAGATATATAAAGAATTCCCCAACACAGGAAGGAAAGGGTAAGTCAACAGACAAGTGACTATATACCACACAAGTGGGATTTAGTGTTTCCTAAAAAGTATTACAGGAGGCAAATAACATTGATCAGTATCCCAATGAAGATTTTTCTTGTTCTCTAGCTATTTTAAACACAGCCATATTGTACACAAATTGCTTCTCCATTCTGCCTAGAGAAATTCTACTCCCTTAAAAGAAAGCTACTGTATTAGGTAGGTAATTAACTCAGTGTAGGAAAAACTTCAAGAAAAGTAGTATTTTGTTACCCAAGTAGGCCTAAAGCTCTGGAGAGGCTTTAGGTCACTACCGTGTACTGATAATGGAGACTCGACACCGTATGTACAGGCTTCTTTCTAGGAAAAGGTAGCTGACAAATTATTTTATGCCCACCTCAGCTAGCTGATGAAACTGAACTTGAGGAAACACTAAAAATTACCTGGGAGGCCAGGTAATTGTTCAGAAAATTAGTTTGAACCAAGAGGTCCTGAAAGCCAAGGTTCTTGTTACTGCTTAAATGCCTTTGATGATTTCATGCTCAGAATTAGGGTTGAGACTGATATTGCTAATGTGCCTTCCAGTGCAGACAACATCCATTATGATCAATGACACAGCTGTTCCCAAGCTAAGGAAGGTTGTATGGCAGCTGATAATGGAACTGTATCAGAAATTAATCAGCATTTATAGGGCTTGGAGGCCCAAGCATTTAATGCCCAGCCAGACGCAAACGATCTGGGACTATGCTGGAAGTATTTGTGGCTTTGGTACAATGGCTGCTCAACACTTGGGAAAAAGAATAGCTCACAACCGGGAATTAACTTCTTCAGCTCCTACTGAACCACAGACTGGCCAACTCAAAGGAGACCGAAGTAGGAGACCAAGTTCAAAGGATACATTTACTGAATGTTCTTACCAATTGTGATTGAGAAAGGGGCATTAGCAACTGGGAAAAAACAGAGCAAAACAGTGGTATGGACACATGTGGCATAGGTATAGACAAGTAACGAAGGAAACAATGTCCAACACCTTTCTAATTCCAAAGAATAATTCATTTGATTCTGTTAACATGGATTTAAAAATACAAACGACTTTTAAATACACTCTGGAACCACTGCCACAGTTTAGGGAAGTTTGAAAACTTACGGTAATTTATCAAAATTTCATGAAACACTGCCATACCTTTTCTGTATTTCCTTTCCTGTCATTATATATTGGAGAGAGAACCACATGCAAGAAGTTACTCTTCCAAGTTAACTTACCTCATGCTAGATTTGTGGAGCAATGCCTTTACCCTGAATTGCTTCTGCAGCAGTGGAATTCACTATTGCAGGTGTTGCAGCCAAAGTTTTTAGAACACAATTGCACCAAATTCTAAAAGCTACATAAGGGAAGGCTGGGTCACTTGGAAAGGAGATGCCAGGAAACAGTTCTGAAGGATATGGTGCTGCTGTTCCAAGTAAGTATTCGTCTTGAGTCAGCAAGGGTCCTAGCAGGGTATTGTGGGAGGACAGTACTGCTAGTCATGACCCCCCCGCCAGGGAAAACAAACTTAATGCCAGTTGCATACTAGTCTGTATGTTTACATTCTGCCAAAAACACCTACATTTATTTGGCAATGTTGATTCAATATGGTGTTTCTACATGCAGCCTTCTTAAAATGAATATAAACAATTGTTCTGCGCTGTTGAAACAGCTCTCCTAGAGGTGGATGCATCAGAACAATGCTTAAAAGAATGGCATTGTAACAGTTTGGAAACATATTCTTGGGGATGAAAGGTGCTTCAGAGAGATTTTCTCTGAAAGGTTCAGGGACAAGAATGCTGAATATGTTGGAGAAAAAAAAATATTCAAATGTACTGCAGAGAACCCATGCTGACCTGCTGAATTTTACCCATGATGAAAACCTTCCCAAATACCAGTAAGGAAACACAGAATGAGTATAGGACAATTTAATGAGTTTTGGCAATAGATTTTCCCTCCAGTGTAGCAGTGGTTGGTCAAGCAGATTTTTTGTTTTCTGGAGCAGCAAAAAATAATTATAGGCTTAGGATTAAAGGTGTATTTTAGCTTTGAACTTTCTTCTTTAAAATGCAGAATTGCAGGCATCATGGTCTTATGGTGGGTTAGTCCATTTTAATATTTTAATGAAAATTATTTAAAAACCATCCATTTCCATATGAAAAACCAGATACTGAGCAGAACAAAATGCTTTACTTCAAAATTTTATAATGTTGTGAATGCCTCCATTTGAATGAAAGTGATATTAATAACAAAAAAAAAAATCTCATTTGGCAAGTGTAAAGGTACAGAAGTGATTGTCATTTTTGTTTTAATGGGGAGAGTAAACTTCTTACCTGTAAATGAAGTATTTTAGATTCATTATTCCGCAGCATTTCCTTCTGTCTTTCAATTTCTATTTCAAAGCTACAAATCTGATTATGTAAAGTTTGTATACTCTTGTTCTTTTCCAAACTTTCATTCTGGAGCATGGCCACCTGGAAAAAATGTTACAATTACTCCCGCCAGAGTTTATGAAAAATATCTGAAACTTCATTTTCTTAAACTACCTTAGAGATGTCCCATGAGCCCAGAAGTGAGATCCTAGCAAAATCCCTCTCCATACCTGTAACATATCTATCATACTGCAAGAAAATGTGAAAGTTCTAATACCCATTCTTCCATTCCCACCGTGTTGTACTTAGCTTAGGTAATTGAGAAAATGGTATATACAAGAGCAGCAATTAACCTTAATTCTAAACAGTGGTTTTTTTTACTTGGTTGCTGTTTAGCAGGTCAGCTTCCAAGATTCAACTCACTAACTTAAGTGTGGCATATAGTTCAAGAGCAGCCTATTTAGTTCCCAAGTGCTGACAGGAGGGTTAGAACTGCAAAGAGGAACGCCAGAGAAAGGGAGCATTGAAAGGCCTAGGTAGGAAAGACAGAAATTAGTGAAAACTGCTCCTCCATGTATGCTCCAATTAAAAAGAGTTTAACAAGGTAATAGCATGGGATTGAAATGGCCTTATACTAAGAAAGGTTGTCAAAGCAGCTCAGTTGATATAACTGCAGATGAAGTCTGTGCATTCTAGAAAATCTAAAACACTACCAGCCCCCGAAGAGGAAGGAAGCACTGAACATCACTATTTTCTCCCTCTCTGGACCCATCTTTTTATCATTACACATCAGTGACTGTTTTTAATTTAAAAATACCAATCATGCTATTAGAGTATTGCATGCAACCTCTATTTGGAGCCATGAAGATAGACTCAGCATTCCCATCACTGTATATAACAGTGCAAGCAATCTTTATACATATCACATTTTACACAATTTCTTCCTAGCAAAACGTATGCATTAACTATATGATATCCGGCAAGACTCTAGAAAGAGCCCAACTGATCTAAGTCTCTCACCTCTTACATGGACAAGACCCCACTTTTGACCAATTAAAAGTGATAATTGATAATTTGCGCTAATTATTCTACATCACATTCAAACAATAAAATGGCACCCAAAGCAACCTTTACATGCCAAGATAAAGTTTGTTTTCCATCCCCCCAAAATGGAACAATAGTTGCTGAAGACCCAAACAGGTTGACGATGCTCAATGGGGCAAGAGCCCAATAGAAAGACATAGATATTGAAACAACACCTATATAACTGTATAGACAAGGGCCTTAAAAAAGAGCTGGTGGAAATAACACAATGTTCTTTTTTTTTCCCCCCTTGCATTACAGAGAGAGCTGTGCCTGTCACTGAAACAATGCATGCCTGATGTACTGGAGATAATTCTGAAGTACAGAGGTAGCCTGACAGTCTCCTGGTTCTACTCTTGCCTCCCACAGATATCAGTTCTGCCGAGTAGCTACTCTTAACATGTGTATCGATCTTTTCCTTAATGAATTGGAGTTCTTTACTTAATTGTGACGTTTACATTCCTTCTTTCCTTTTTTTCCCCTCTTGCTATCTCCTGACGATCAGGACCTGATCACAAGCCAACCTTGCTCTGAATTGTTGATGTTAGTGTCCCGTGTTTGTGGACATTACAGTCAGTGGGGCCTGTCTTGTGCTGAGATTTTCCACCAAGTTTACAAAATACAAAAGAGGGCTACATGCTGTAATCCCCAATCAGACAAAACTCTCATTGATAACACACCACTCAATCTGAAAATAACAGGCACAAGGCGAGGACCCTAATAAAATAAATATACAAGATTATAATTTTATTTGGTGTACTCATTTTAAATTTAACTAAACTAGTTTCCAAATTAGGACAAAAGACTACCTGTATTTTGCATAATGTACCTCAATTCAAGAGTCCATGAAAAAAAGCGCATTAAGTCATATTTCAAATATTCAAGTGCAATCTTTTTAGCTGTTTTCCAATAGTACTAAATCTAATTGTTATTTTACCATTTGAAAATTATCACAAACCAAATTAAGAGTGAAAAATTATTTGGGTGCTTGTACATTAGCACAGAGGCTTCAGGATGCTGATACACAAGATGCTGCAGCACTTTAATTAATGTTGCTTTTGGAGTGGCTCTAATTAAAGCACAGTCCCATTCTCCCCACCCTCCCTCCACCCCTCCCAAAGCACATGTAAAAGCATAGGTGACTGGTGGGGGGGGGGCACAGGGGGACATGTGCCTCCTCTGACAGGGCCATCCCTGCCACTGCCGGCAGCTTCTGCAGGTGCTCACCAGCCCTGTCCGCGCCACCAACGCCACTGCCAGCTTCTGCGGGTGCCCCCCCCAAGACTCGGGAGGTACCAGTCACCCATGTGTAAAAGTGCCCTTTCATCCCAGACAGAACAACCATTTAGCTGTTTAACTCATGTCAATTACTTTTGTTTTGAAACATACATGATAGATTTCAGGAGATGAGACCAAGCCATGAAAGTTTGGATTGAGTCACAGTTGCCAAAACCCCAAATTCCAAATGTTCAGATTCAGGTGCTTAGTCTGGCCCAGCAGGAAGATGCTCTCAAAATCATGATTTTTAAAAAAATTTTAACTCTCCAACCTCAAAATAACCTTCAGCTCAAATATTAAGACTGGGACTCTTCAGTCTGTTTTGTGTAATGTAATAAATTAATACACACCTATTCTGAAGACTTAGTTTTCACAACCTTTGAGTGCTGTGTTATAGACCCAAAGTGATGGGGGGAGAATTAACTTCTCTTTTTCTCTTCTATACAAATCAACTTGAATATACAGGGTGCATTAAGATGACACTTATTGCCCTCAATGATATCAGGATTTCTCCTACATATTTAAGTAGAAGCAACCTCTCTGCAATAATCTAATTCAGGGCATATTTCACTTTAATGCCTAGAAAAGGATTAGTAAATTGCAATTTACTAAGCTGCAAATAATTTTATCACACCTCTCTAGAATATAATTACTGACATATGATGTCTGGTTAATTATTCTGGTAACTTGGCACTTTCCTGGTATTTCCAGTAATTCAACTCTGTTATGAATTGGAAGAAGTCTACAAAACAAAAAGGTGAAAAGAGAGACAATGATAAGCTCTAAAACAAGGAAAACTGTACTAAGGAGTTTATCCTTTTAGTGTTAAGAGAGAGTTTCAGAACTGCTGAGCACCTCTCAGGATGATTTTAACTCTGCTCTTAAGCACACTAAAGAAAACTGGAAAAGAAGATGACAAGTGTTCCTTAGTTCAAACAATATGCTGTAATTTGCATCAATAGACTATTGAAAAAGGAACCAAGAATATGAAGTTGGATTCTTTAAAGCTGAAATATTTCTTCTACCTACATGGTCACTATCTTATGACAATTTTTGCTAGCTTGGCATGTGAGTGTAAAGAGCAGCACTGTTTGTCTACAGTGAAACTATAAGATATAATTAATAGATTTGTAAGAGAATTTTGCTGGAAGAATTCTCCCACATACAAAAAAATATTTTCTTATTGGGTTCTGAGCTAAAACACTGGCATAATGGGGAACTTACTTTCCAGACTGTGCTCTAAGCTCCAACAAATAAACTTCTGTACAAAGACTGAAACCACAAAGTTACTTCTGTTTGTCAGTAGGCTACCATCTACATAGTTTTATTTTGCTGCTACACTAATATTACACCTCTGCTTGAACACACTACAATAACTTAAAAGGGCTCCTGACTTCTCTGCTTTTAGATTTAGGGCAATTTGTTGAGAAACAAAGTATTTAATTAAGCCATCCAAAATTGTATTCACGTTAAAATGCATACAGACTCTCATAAAATGGTTTAAAATATGTTGAATCTTTTAAAAAAAAAAAATAACTGGATGCAATATTTTAAAGCCAAAGCTTCTAAAGGATCTACTCTCTAAATAAAAACAAAGGGCTTTAATTTAAATTAAACAAAGGACTTTATTAAGGTCATCTTAAGTACCTAGATTCTCAGTAAATTCTCCCAAATTCCAAAAATACATTCTGTAAAACACAGGAGTCCCAGGGGAGCATTGCAGAGCCAACTTCAGTTAGATCCAGCACCAAAGCAGAAAGCAGAGGGCTTCAGAGTAACAGTATGTTCATTTGGTTACACTCTCTTTAAATCAAAAAGATTGGAGAGCTTTGGATAATTACAATTTTAAAAAATAAAGCTGGGTCATTACATGGAGTTTTGCAGGATCTTATTTCCAGAAAAAACAGAGGTTGGTGCAGCTTCCAACACTGCAGGACTTGCCTAAATCTCTTGCCTAACAAGAGGGACTTGAAAAACTTATTGTCTGCCTGCTTGACAGATTAAATATTAACATACCCTCTCACAACAACCAATGAAAAAAAATTATGTATTTAATTGTGAAGCCAAGTTTCTTATGGCGTTCTACTACAATGAAGAGGAGAGCACACTGATTTGATTAATTTTTGAGCCTTGGGTATTTTAGCTGTATTTCCAAACAGCTATGGGGAAAAAAATTTCAGAATTTAAAGAAATGAATGAAAATTAAAGCGAGTAGAAGATATACCTTATTTTCTAGAGCATTACTCCACTCTTTCAATAAGTTAACATGCTGCACTGCCGAGCTGGCTTCATGTGCTTTAATTTGCTGATTTGTTCCCTGTGACAACAAAGAATTTATACATTTTAGCCAATTTTGCTTTTAAAAAAACCTATAAAGAAAGAATATAACAAGAACATAAAACCAGCACTATGCATGTTGGTACATGGATGCATGTTGCAAGAATGTGGAGAGAGGGAAATCTAGCTGGGAACCTATAAAAGTCAGAAATTAATTTAACAGCAAGTGTTCTATGCAACTGCTGTACATTTCCATATTGATCAACTAACGCAACTTGATATATCAGAGGAAATAAAGCGGAAGTAATTTACACAAATGAATTGTGTTTTAGAATCATCTGTATAGCCTTTAGGCTAAGGAAAGCACAATAACACACTCAAATTGTACAATCACTAATGTCCAGTTCCCCAAAGAGTAATTTAAACATATGTTGCATTTTATGGGTTATTATGAAATTCCCCTTAGTGAGAATATAGTGAGAATAGTAAGGGAAATGATTAAGTTCTCATAACTAAAAACTGCCAGCTTTGTTATATCTGTCAAAGGGGTTTGCAGAGGCTAATTTGCCATTATAAGAAATTAGCGAGATACTTCTATATCTGCTTTATGATGTTCAGATTAGCTGCCCCTGCACAATCTGCAAATGTTACAAATAACCACTATATAAATTTACAAACACACATAGATATTATATAGAGTACATAAGATGCAGACCATAATTACCTCATTCATCATTCATAATATACTGCAAGAGTTATTTTTTGTAAATGTTTTGCAATGCAGATTACATTAGTTTTAATGCTAGACATGCTGCAAAGCAACTGAAAAAGTTTCAATGATCTTCAATGTATGCACTCTATATAAAATATTCAAAAATATATATGTGAATATATGTACATATATGCACACATATACATACAAAAAAGAATGAATGGCATACATAAGACATAACAATGGGCAGTGCTAGATCATTGATTACTTTACATGTAAGAGCAAAATTGTTTTTTTGGTTTAAACTGTTGAATGCTTTCCTTATTTTTATGGGCAGAACATTAAGGGCCTTGTCTAGGTCATTTAGAGACAACTGGAAAGACTTTTGATTTCTGCAGGGTTAAGAAGATCAGGCCCCAAAACTCCAGGGGGGAAAAGTTTATTTAAAAGTGTTGTTTCTTATAAACCTGATCTCTTAGGTCATCATGGATTTACAGAACTATGATGTTTTATTTGATAAAACTCCCTTTTTTCCTGTCCGCAGTTTTTTTAATTCTCCAAGATACCCCTTTACTGGAAAGCTGTCAAAAATACATTGACAGTCTCAGTAAGAAAAGTATAATAGTGCAAAATACAGCAATAATAGCATTAAAACTATCCTCAAGGGATTTTTTTTAGTGCTGGGGTGACCTTTCAAATTTAAATAGCCATTCTTTTATTGAATGTGGCACTGTAGTTTGACTCTACACCTCTCTGCACACACATGTATCCGAATGCACATAAAATACACATTTAAAATGGGCCAGCCTATTTTTAAATCATATGGTAGATACACAAACATGAGAAAGTATAAACAAGTTTCATTCAGGAACATAAATGAATACTTTCATAGACACTACTGACATTACTAGTCTACCATTTTGGAGAGCAAAAAGTGACATTTTCTTTTATTTCTAAGAACAAGTTAAAGTTCTTGACATAATATATTCAGATTTCACAGAGATGTATCTGGCTAACTGACATCCCCAAACACTGCTAGAGGGTGTTTTTTTAATATTATATTTAATAAATGCAAAAATGAACACCTGCTGCATAATCACTCATGCAACTAGATGAATGTTTCTTAACCAAGACTAGAAAAGTCAAAAACTTTCAAGTCAAAGTTTATTTAAGTTTTATTTATTGCAGACTTTCATCAACTGGGAACCATAATTGTTATATACTGACCTGAAAAGTGCAGCCATAACGCTTAAAACTACAGGTACTTGGGGCATTAATACATTCTGACAAATGTGCATTCAACTGCAATAGGAAAAAAATATGAGTTTTGGCAAAAACGTTTGCATGATAATGCTCAAAACATAAAGAGCACATATTATCGGATTTCTATTATCTGTGCAATTTGTAGAACATACAATATGTGTGTATATTTTCTACAATCTGACCCAGAGTCCATATACTGTATATACACATGTAACCACACACACATGCCAGTACAATATACAGAATGACACATTTAATATACAGTGAAACTTCCAATAAAGACCATTTCAATAAGCAGTCTAATTGGGGACAAAACACTAAGAAGAAACTTAAGTGTCGCTGTACGTTGTCAACTGACTTTAATTAAAAGCTATTTTTTCCGTGGGCAATTATTTTCGCTGGTCCCCTGGGTGGTCACTTAAGACCAGTTTCACTGTAGTAACATACATCTTTTCTGACTCTCATTTCATTGGGAACAGATTGTTCAAAACATAGCATGCAAGTCTCAATGCCAAAATTTAAAATTAAACTACACAACCAAGACTATACACAAATAGTGAGTGAAACAGACAAATAGTTTATAATAGGGTGCAGTTGAGTCACATTTATTATGCAGTGCACAATTACATGTTTAAGTAGTAAAATGCCTGCATTTTGTACAGATTGAGATGTATGTTTTCTCCAATATTCTGGATTATGATGACCACAGGAGTGTCTCTCTAAAAAAAAAGTCACAGAAGTATATACACACAGCCCTACGGACATTCAGCCATCTTTGGTATAAAGAGTAGGAGCAAGATGCAAACTGCTTAAGAATTGGAGTGAAGGGACGTTCTTGGAAAGGACATGACGACAAGCCTCATTTCTTCTGAAAAGTACCTTAGTCTATTTTCACACAGAGTAGGCAGGACCTAGGGGCTGACCTTCAGCTGACAAATACATACTCATATCCAGTTCAAAATATTTAATGTGTCATTTAAAAGACACTCCCCCCAGCAAAAGAAGCCCCAAGGTACTCAATTCATCCATCTCTACAAAACGGGCAACAATGGAATCAAAGGCTCTAAGGAAACACAGATTTTCTAAGTTTAATGTTGAGGTGATTAAAATCATCTACTTCTGATATATACCTACTTTGTTTTATCTCAGCAGGAACATGTCATTTGAAAAAAATACAAACAGCAGCAAGTCAGGAACAGCACATGTATCATAAGAGGGCTTCACTAGGGCACTAATCCTTCCATCTTCTCAATGCTAAACAGTCACAATTTCCACATATTAAGAGCAGTTGTTCTCCTACAATAAGATATTGCATTTTCTTCATTTCTATACTATAGAATTTTCCTCAAACTGTTAGGCAGGCATTTTCCTATGTTATATTATAATGGCTGTCCCTAATCATGCAATTATGCTTCAATTATAATTTCCACAACATTAGAAGCAAAATTAAACAAACAAATAACAAAATGATGATGCAGGGCAAGATGGTGGTTGGTTAAGTACCAACTCTACCAACAATTTCAGAACTCAATTCTGCCAACACTTACTATTAAGTTCAATGCTTACTAATGTAAGTTGAGCTATTGTCTTTAATGGAGAGAACAACCAAAAAGTAAGGGCTAAGTAAAGGATATACTTATGGTCCATCCCTACTCAGAGTGGCACTGAAGTCAGGACTTGGGAACATGAAGAAGTACTGCTCTTACAGGGATCAGGGGCTAATCTCAGTAGTCAGTGTTGGCAGGATGGGCCCCCAAGGCTGGCTTTTCTGTATGTCATTATCGACAGTACCTAAGTTTCAGTTACAAAAAGATAATGTATATTATTATGCGCAATGCCTCTTGTACTTTTTAGACTACATGTTCCTTAGGGTAGAGATGACTTTCTATGGTTGGAAGGTGCCTAGCACACTTTGGACAGTCTGAATTATCAGTCATACCATAATATTAAAAGGATTTATGCATACATGAAGAAGAGAGTCTAACCCAGAAAATCTAATGGACTACCTACGAAAAAGGAAAGTTCACTCAGATGCTTCAAAGTAATGAATCTAAAAGCAGAAACAAGTGTTGGGGACAAATATGCTCTCCTCCATCTCAGAGGACATAATAAGGCTGACGGTTTTTTTGTTAAGGAAGAATATGCACATGTGCAGCTGTTGTTCAGATTCATATAAACACAGGAATATTCACACAGAGACCGCATGATACAAAATAAATGTATATGCTCAAAGTACTGACTGAAGCTTTTACACAAGTTAAATCCATTTTAGTACCTCATCACACCTGATCAGGGTGATGCCACACTGGAAAAGACCAATGGCCCAGCCATTCATTCTCTGAAAGCAAGCAACTCTGGAGGTTTCAAGGAAAGGTTACAACTTTCTATACCACAAGCAATACTAGGAGCAAGTTTCTTCTTTGTTTTGGGGTAAACAGTTACCATCAACTCAAACAAGGAGATTGATAGCTTTTGAAATTTTATCCCAGTAATATGAAATACACAAAATAATATTATTTTTAAAAAGGATCCAACATTTAAGTTATATACTTAGCATTTATCCTGTGGCAGTACATTTCATAGGTTAATTATCTACTGCATACATATTTTCTTTCTGCAATTTATAATAAAGGCCTATCAAGTTCACTATAATTTGAACAGCCTTCTACATACTATTCACCATTGTGTATTGGCTTAGTTATTGTTTATGTAAAATACTGCCAAAAGGTCCAACACTTGCGTGGTATCTGAATATCAGACAGCATCTCTCCCTTCTTTCCAAGTTTAGCAGTCTTATTTTAAATATTTTTCATGGTCTGGCTCTACATGACAACTATTCTTTTAACAAATTCTCTACTCCCTTTGTCAGCTCCAGTGTTAATATATGCTACTAGTGTTTGAGATTTCTTCATTTATACTGACATTTCTTCACTGAATACTGACAAAAATACCCATGACCTAACATTATCCCAAAAGACTGCTCTACTGTCCTCAAAAAATGCACAGAACTCCATTTTTATGAAGAGTGAAAGCAGGGAAGATAAGATAATCATTCACAAGCCATGTGTAATAAACATAGAAAATTAGGAAATTAATTTCTGCAAGATAATTTTCCAAGAAATCATTAAAACTACTGAAGGAGTAATCACACAACTGTGTGGGAGAAAAAGCTTTTCTTTAGATCTCACATATTAATAAGGAAATGGCTTCTGGCAAAATTCTTGCAAGATCTTATTAATAACAAAGTTCGATGCTGAACGCTATTGAATAGACTGCTATTGAATTTTTTAGTGAGGTTCTAGGCATGACTTCTTACCTCGCTCCTCATGAGTGTCTTAACACTACATTTATGAGGACATGAAACCATGACACATGGGCAGTCTGTATCTTCATGTTTCTAAAGAGACAAAAAACTGCAATTAGCTATTCCACATGTGAAATAAGCCATTGACTGATGAGAAGACTTACCTGCCTAAAAAAGGTATCCAGCAATGCTACAATTAAAAAATAAGTTACATATATAACAAACAGTAAATAATGAAACTTTGTTTCTGCAGTATTTGGAAGAGTTGAACATAAAAGTCATGCTTTCACTGGATAGGTATTTCTCAATTGTTTGTGTTTCAGAAAATAAGGAATCTATTGTGCTTTCCTGAGCAGGAAAATCAGTTGGCCTCAAGTTGTATCATGTTCTTACTTATAACAAGAAAACATCATCATAAAATAAAAGACTTATCCCCATGAATCATTCAAGAGGATGCACATCATTAAGAGTGAGTAGAACTATCCAAGACAGCATTCTTTCCATTATCAGCATAGGGTATACAGGAAAGCTATACAGGCATTTATGCTGCTGATAATCAAAGAAACCTGCGTTCCCATATACAGTACATGCATTCTCTCTTTTAATTCTCCTCAGACTTTGGGTACTGAATTTTTGCACTCTATATCACGCTACTGCAAGAGAAGCTTTAATTGTATCAAACTGCCATGAATTTTTACATTATTTGAGCTAACAACTGACTTTTCAGCTAAGCAATCACGAGAAAAATAAATGGGAAACACTTCTGTTCAAACTGAACTGAGTTTAAATTTTAATTTTTTCTTTTCCATTCTTTCCACCACAACAAAAACCTGAAACTTTTCATTGCACGTCAAATGCACCATTCAACTCAAAGCAAAATGTTCAATTTTGAGCACTTACAGAAAGTGAAGGAAATAAAGGACTACATTTATTCACAAAACTGCCAGAGGAGGAAAGGGAAATAGTGTCTCCCTTAAACACAAAACTCCATTGTCAGGCCACTTACCCAGAATATGAGAGACCTTGGTTAAAATCCCTTCTCTGAATAAGTGAGTACATATATCACTGAGACCTCTCCTGTGAGCTTTCCAGACACCACACTACAGGTGTTCTGTGGTGGCACTCTCTCAGGTCCTCCAGGTGACAGTTTCACTCTGTATAAAACACCAGGATTCACTGAGACAGCAAGGGAGAGAGGACTATCTAGCCTGGTAGCTAGGGGACTCATTTGGAAGGTGATGCACTGGGGTCCAGCCATCCCCCAGTTGGTCAGTGTGTGCATAATTGCTGAGCCATGTGATAGCATCCTCAGCAGCCACGTACAGTTTCTGGAGACCTCCACTGAACTTAGTAAGCAGACAGTCAATAACCATATGAGACATGGTGTGCGTTTTTCCACAGCTATGGTCTGGATTGTTGTGAAGACCCCAGTGGCGGGGGCTGGCCACACACAGACCTTGCTCTGTCCAGAACTTATTCAGCAAGGCCCACTGATGGAGTGGCAGATAAAGGCAGGTGGACAGACTGTAGGATCTGTGATAAGGAATGTTTGCTGATAATATCGACCTCCATTCCTCACACCAGAGGGTCTCTGCTATGCAGTCCTGGTGCGGCAGTTTAGACCACGCTGGGTGTCACGATGGTAGATGTGCAGCAGGTGGATTTAAAAGATTGTTGTGCAGCAGCAGACTTGGATTAGCACAGATCTTCTCCAGTAGCTTGCTAGCTGCAACCTTCCATCAGATATGAGGTGGAACAATGTTGCTCAGGACTGCGAGCCATGTTAGATGGGTCAGTTGAAGGGTTCAAGATGATGAGCATCATCAAATGTAGCTGCATGTCAACAAGTTTGGTGTGTGACGACTGGTCCCAGACTGGTATGCGGTACTCTGCTGCAGAGTACAAGATGACAAGAGCTGATATCCTTAGGTGCACCCCAAGGTGACTCAGCCAGTTTAAGGAGATTGAGGCACAAAGCATAACTCATCTATCCTAGGCATAATGCTAGACTGAACATTGAGGTACTATAAACACTTGAAAAAGACAGCAATGAGAGTTAAAATGCAACAGCCTCTGACCATTCAGGTAGATGCTCAGCTCCGAGGCAGCACTGGCACTGTGTAGGTGGAAAAGGCTGGAAACTGTCTTATTAATGCTTGGCTGGAAGCACCAAATCTTGTCGTAGTCAGCCAGCTTTGCAACATCACTTTTCAGACTGTGTTCTAGCTCAGAGAAATCCAAGCCTGGAATTCACAGCAGATTCCATGAATATAGATGAATTTCTGTGACTGGGTTTGTGGCAGGTTATTGGTGCAGATGTTGTACAAGGTTGGAGCAAGCACAAATCCCTGAGGCAGTCTCTTAGTCTGTCTTCTCCAAGTACATGTCTTCTCACCCATGTGCACCCTGAACCATCTATTGTAAAAGAGCAGTTCAACAATGTCAGTCAACCGTGCAGGTAGGACAGGTAGGATTCTTACTATTTTTTTGAGCAGACCGGTGTGCCAGTATTGTATCCTGCTGCAGAGTCAAGGAAAACAGTGCCTGTCTTGAGGGCCCTTTGGAAAGTGTTTTCAATAAATGTTGTTAAAGCAAGTACTTGGTCACACATAATTCAACCTTGTTGGAAGCCCACTTGATCGATACTCAGGATGTCCTCTCCCTCTGGGAGTATGCGCTGTAAAATCAGGCACTCCAGAACTTTAAAGCAGACCGACAGCAGTGATATTGGGCGGTAGCTTGACACCTGGCTTAGATCTCTTCCTGGTTTGGGAGGCCAATGACTCTTGACATGAGCCAGATCTTTGACAGCTTTCCCTCACATTTGACCCTTGTAAAGAGTTGACCAAGAATGAGCATGAGGGCCAAGATCCTTCAGGGGAGATGCTGTCATAGCCTGGGGCTGTGCCAGACTTAAATGCTGTCCAAAACCTTGTTAAGTTTAAAAAGTGCCCAGACAGGTCTGAAAGATGATGGGATGGGCTGAGAGTTCGCTCACAGTAATGATATAATTCTCTTTCCGATTCTCCTCCTTGCTTCAGAAGGTGAGCGATCTGCTATTTGTACAAAGTCTACTTCATCTGCAATGAAACCAATAGGAGCCTTTCCAATGACATTGTACACTGGATTAGACCCTATTTCAGTAGCAGAACACTTCTATCTACCCACACTGACCAGCAAGGCTCACTCCTTGGCCCTGACCACCTGCTCTTCAAGGAGGTTGCTCTCACTTCTGCAGAATAATCTACAATTTTTTGGTATAATAGTGTAATTGATTCTTTAATTGTCATAATTCAAGTAAATTTTTTGCACAAATGTAGGCAAATAGAGGTGGATAGCCAGGCTGGCTTGAAGTGAGGCAGAAGGTTGGTCATGGTGGCGCCTTAGAGACTAACTGTTTCAGAGAGGCACAAGCTTTCATTGGCCACAACCTACTTAGTCGGATAGCCTTACAGCATAAGCTAAAAATACCCACGTTCTTTTAAAACTTTAAATGCAAGTCCACATTACTGAATAGTCTGTCTGCTGCAAAGGGGATTCCCTACTTTGTAAGGCAACACTCTATGAAGACATGAACCCATACAACTATTTTTATTTCTATTTGCATATCCTTGGCTTATTTCTCGGTACAATCTAGTAACACATCTGCACATCCCTCTCCATCTTCTGTTCAAGCCTCTGAAAAGCTTTCCCAGCTTATTCACACACTGAAAAAACTGATGACTACAAAGGCCAAAAAAGGAATCTGAGCTCTATGTAAGCAACTGGATTGTACAAATCAAAAGAGACAATCTCTCTTTCATCTGGTTTTGTGGCCCAGTTACAGACTCTTTAATTCCCACTGATAGCATACAATCAGGTACCTTCATCAGCATTTGTGTAATTGCAGCCATTACAGTCATTCCAGCTTTAAAAAAAATGTAGGTACAAAAGCATTAGCTATTTGATCAGCAACTGTTCTCAGCTCTTCTAACAACAAATACTGTAGGATCCTAGATACATCCAAAATCACCATGACTGGAAGGAAGCTGTCCTGACTGAACAACTTTTCACTGATATTCTGAATGCAGGAAAACCTAATGTTTCTGATTTACTTAACTTCTATTAGCAGGCATTACTGCAAGTCTTCACAGGCTGTTGCTCTCTCCTTTATTTTTTGCTGAAGTGACTCATTACAAAACTCTTTCTGACAGAACTCAAACTTTTTGCTTTCCCTCCTACTAAACCGAGTACATTTGCTTAGAGACTATAACCTCACGTGCTACATCTGAACCTCCTACAGCTGCTCTTTAGCTGTTATATAGCCTTTCATTCTGTAGAATAAAGAACACAGAATGGGAAGAAGCTTCCAGTCTTGTTCCCTTGTTATCACAGGTGACCAGGTCATTTAATCCAATTCATAGCTTACCAAGCTCCATCAGCATTTAAGTTTTTAAATACTGAGTTAAGCCCCATCCAGTGTTTTCCAATTCAAAAGCTGCTTTGCAACCTCACTGCTTGATATTAGTAACTTTCTGCTAATTTTTAGACTGACCTTACTGATGGCCAATGTCTATTCATTTGTTCTTCTGCCAGTATTATCCTTTTTGCTTGAACTATGATTTTTCTCCCCTGGTGCTCAACCTCTAATATGTTTATTTTGCTTGGTCAAGCAAATCAAACTCTCCTAAAACAGGCAGTCAATTTTCCTGATCATTTTAGTAGCCCTTCTTTGCACTTCTTCCACTGTAAGTTCAGTTCCTTTTTCTTGAACAGGAACAAACTGAATTGTACCCACTATTCCAGACAAAGTCTCACTAGTGCCTTATCTGATGACACTGACACTGCCTCATGTCTAGTGGAAATACTGCACCTGATGCATATTTGCTTTTCTTCAGAGCCACATCACGCCTATGGCTCAGAGTCTTCCTGTGTTTGATTAGTAAACCATGTCTTTCTTTTCCAGTTGTTTCCAACAGAAATTCCAATTGTTTCAAAGCAGAAGTTCTTGCTATTAGTGTCTAAGTGCATGACTTTGTACTCTGTACAGTTGAACTTTATCCCACTTCTGTTCCTGTAGTTTTCAAGATCATCCAGCTCTCTCTGGATATTCTGCCTCCTCTGTACTGATGACCCCTCCTAATTTTGTATCAACAGCAAGTCTGTGTCAATAACAAATTAGTTCATACTTACTCTGTGCTCCAAGGTCATTAAGGAAACATATTGGCCCCAAGGAAACCTCTGAGAAGCTCCTGTTGTACCCCCTGTCCAGCCTGATATTTTCTCTTTCAGCAAAAAGCCTCTACTCATTAACCAGGTCTTTCCCTAACAACTCTTCTGCAAAGTCAATTTTCTCCAGCTTGTCTAATACACATGGCTCCACATCTAGTGCTGTACTGAAGTTTAGATAGATTAGATCTACTGCATTTTCTTTGTCTTGAATGTTGATTATCTTGTTAAAGGAAGAGGCTGTTTTGATCCAGCACAAATTATCTTTGGTGAACTCATACCAAATTTTATCTAATTTTTCTTTTACCTTCCAAAGCTTGCCTATACATTCCTTCAAAACTCTGTTCCAAAATCTTGTCATCTGTGCCAGATTTAACTTAAGCTACAGCTTAGGGCCTTACAATATGAGGGGTCTCTGAATAAGAAAAAAAACTGGACATTGTTCTAATATAACAAAAATATATGTATATATGGTTTACAGTTATTATTCATGTTGAATTAGTAAATTTGTGCAGAAATAACATCTTCATTTTAAATATTCATCTCAAAATTTCATGAAAATCCATTTTCATGGATTATTTTTATCGTATGGGGTCTCTTAAACTGGGCATAGTTTACGGCCTCAGCATGTTATAATCTGGCACTGCTTGTCATCAAGGCTACTGCCAAACTAACAGGCCCATAGTCACCCTGATGACTTATTCCCTTCTTTCGAATGCAGGCACCACATTTGCTATTCTGCTATCACCCATGTAAACATTCTTGCTCTGTCACCTTGGATGCAACTTTCAGAATCCTGAGATGAAGACTGTGTTCCCCCTCAGTTAGAGCACAACGGGCATTTTCACATGTGCTCTGGGACACGGAGCTTGGTGCTTTAATTAGCAAGCCACGCTAATTAGAAGTGCCATGCACTGAAAAAATGGTGACAGGGTGCTTTGAACTAAAGCTCATTGAACATGTTTTATTTCAAAGCACCCCACTGCCATTTTTTCAGTACGGGGACGCTGATACAAGTGACACAGAAGGCTGCTGGAGCACATCCATTTCTGTGCTGCAGCAGACTCAATTAATCGATTCTGATCCAATGTGCTGGATTCTCTCTCTCTCAGCATATCAGATTCTAGTATCACTACAAAGGCACATATAGAATCTCTTTGGACTGGGATGTAATCTTAGTCTTACAAATGTGAGAAAATCTCTATCTACATACACACACACATATACATATGGATCAAGAGACTCCAAGAAATCTAGGAAGTCAGAGAAAAGGAAACACTGTACAAATATGATTTTAAAAAAACCAAAAACCCACACACAACAAGAAGTTATATGAGAATGCATCACATGGTTTTGAAGCCAATGTGGGATGATTCAGATAAACCACAGCTAAACAGATTCCATATTTTTTTCCATATGGAACTAGAATTGAATCCCCCATTTCTAATCCATAGTTCTATCCAACTTACAATATGCTGCTTACCAGTTATCATTAGGTGAAAAATAATAATGCTCTGTCAGTACCTAAACCAATGGGTCACATATGATGTGCACAGATAATAGGTAGTGTTGGTTTTGATGCTATGTTAATTTTCCCCCTTTTTCCCCCATACTAGTGTATACAATTCTCTGTCATGAATGCGGAAGGGTACACAGCTGTTTTGGAATGCTATGAACATCCCAAAGACAAATGAATGATAATGCACTTTTCCTCAGAAACACCTAGTCCAGCATAAGGATGTTTTGGTAAGATGGTAACTTTATGCAATGTGCCAATTTAAATGTTGGCATTCATTTTTTCCATTTATATTTAAAGTTCAGCATTCAGATTTTTCACTGAAAGATCTGAAAATTCTATATTTTTAAAACAATAATTCTTTGCATTTCTGACATTAACACATTTCCCATTCAATCCAATGGGAGGTGAAAGCTTACTCAGCAAGTCTATTTTGACAGCGAGCAGTAAATTTCCCTCTTGAATAAAAAGGCAGAAGCAAATTTGGTCTAATTAATATTGAAAGCCCACTACTCTGATATTTCTGATAGCTGCAAAAATAGAAGCCTGCAAAAAGTTAGTCATTATTCTACATCACATGCAATAACTGGTTTCAGGAATAGAAAAAAAAACACTGCACCTGTAATGTAATCATTGCAACTTGGCTTTTACAGTATTTACATGTCGTCTCTCGATATTTACAGGTCTTTTCTACATGGTCTGGCAAGTCTTTTCTCAGTATTTTTTCTTTACAATCAGCACGAGGACATGAAAGTTCTTCAAACTGGCAGTCATTTTTCAAATGCATCTGTAAGATAAAAATAATTGAGTGAGTTAAATGTTGTTTCTTCTCATCATATCTTATTGCATCTCATTAAACAAATTCAGAGCCAGATTAACCTTGAATGTACATCCCAGTATACCTCAGACCTATGCATAACTACACAGAAGTAGATTTACTGAGATGCATGTTCTCACATTAGGGTAAGTCTATAGAATGAACTGCAAGGTAGTGCAGAGGTACCCAAGCTAGTCTACACACCAGGAATCTAGCTGCAGCAGATTAAAACTTCCCCACAGACTAATTTATCTCTTCACTGTCGTAAACCAGTCAGCATGAAGATCTGTGTAGGTGCAGCCAGTACCAAATGAACTTGGCTATATCTAACATTATATAGCAGACAGCCACATAGACTCTATATCCTCTGACTCTCAGATTTCTGATACTTCATGCCTGAGAGAGCAAAGATTAAAGGTTTTCTTAGGTATCAGGAGATTTCAGAAGCTTGACAACTTACAATAAACTTTCAAGAACTTTTGAAAGTTCAAACCCTACAATAATGAAATACCAAAATAACTTCTTAAAAAACAATTTTTAAAAGCATTTTAAGTGTCTGATAACAGGATGGTAAATTAAAAAAAAACAAAACAAATGTTTACTACCTAGAGATATTTGGGAAGTTAAGGCATATTAAAGATTCTTCAAATGGGCAGCTCTTACAAGGTTTGAACATTATGAACAACTGTTCAAAAACTTTTAGGCACCTAGATAAGTGGTCTGATGTTCACATAGACCGGAGTGCCTCAAACTTTTATTGAGTGGGTAGATACCATAAACTCATTCTTTACATGTCAATTAAAAAGCAGAATATCACAAATTCTACTCCACAGTAATATCTATAACCAATCAAATTTCCTCACAACAATGACTTAAATCAGGAAGTAAATAGATTGCAATTGAATCCTAGATTCAATTCTGATTTTTCTTCCATTCTCTACCTTGAAAGTAAGTGTATTATGTCACGTTACTTACCAGTAACTGGCCCAGGGTTAATTGTTCTTTACAGCCCTTGTTTTCATTTCTGCAATATATCTGAAGGGCAAGAAGCTCCCTCCTACAGCAATTATCCTTAAATACCTGCAAATTGAAAAACACTTTTTTTTTTTCCCCAGAGAGACATTTAAAACCGTTAAGAACACAGAAAAATATAAAAACTGAAGACATACAACCCCACAATACCAATGCTGGTAAATTCTGACTTTAAGCAAAATAGTCAATTGAATGTGTAAGTCAGAAAAACAAACTTTCTTTCTTGATTATGCACAACAAGGAGACACTTCTCCCATGAAACATATTTAAAGTAACCCAGTGAAAGAGAAACAATTGGGTTTGTGCCTCTCTCAAGTCTTTCTGGAATATAAAAAAAACCCTGAAAACCTCCTTCACTCTCCCTTTGGATTTTACAGGACTTTTCTGCTTGTTGTCACAGTGATAACTGGGATCCTGTACCAAACTGGAATGCCTATGACAAACAGAGAACTAGCTCATCAGAAATGACACCATAAGACACAAAAGAGCAGAATGTCAGCTATTCAGAAGGGGACGATATTTTTGACATTAGGTTCAAAATTCTGGTGATCCTTTGACATTTAACATCCTATCTAAACTTCAACAATTAACTCACATTCTGTGGAAAGAGACTGCATGAAAGACTTAAGTATTCACTAGATCTTCAAGTAAAATCTCAAAGTAAATGCCCTCACACATCTTAAGCTAGTCTTCATATAAAATTAGAGATAACTAGATTTTTAATTGCTTAGTTTAAAAAAAAACAAAAAAACAAAAAACCACAAAACAAAACAATAGAAAACCTTTTCAGCAACAAAAAAATCACAAGTTTCTTTTAAAGTCCCACAGCACTGTAGATGTTGCTTTACAGTGAAGCAGTCAGAGGGGTATGATGCAAAGTCCTTTGGAGTTTGCAGGTATAATGAGTAACCAAACAGTCACTTTGGCAAGCTACACCTGACTACAAGTTTACACCTCTCTATTAGATTCAAAATTAGTCAGAAAGATCCATGCAGCTCCAGATCTTGAGTGCAATTCTTATCAAGGTATAAAGCCCTACATTTTCATTTGTTTCCTTTAAAATAGATTCTGCGGTACATGTAAAATCCTCTCATAAACGGAGCTTTCTCTGTGAGTATATTACTTTGGTGCTTTTCTTCCTGCACTGTCATACCAATGACTAGAGTTTGCCTCATAGTCTCTGCCCTGTACTTCAAAATCTTGTATGAAATTGTTCCTGGTGAGATTCATTTTTTCCTACATGACTACCTAAAACAGGTACAATCCACAGAAATTGTCACCCCAGAAGTGAAGAGTTGCAAATAAGAAAAGAGCTTTCAGGGGAGCCAACCAAAATCTGTAAAACTAACTCTGGCAAGAAACAAGGTAAACATTGACCTCAGTGTTAGACAGATCACTTCAAGATCTTTTTGACCAAATAACTTGTTTTGGGGTCCTCCAAACCCTTTCCATAAGAAGTGCATCACTGGAAGGATGAGGTACCAAAATGAACTGTTTAATTCAGAGGCAGAAGCTGTGATTTTTATAACAGAAGTTGTCTTAGGAACTAAGGAAAATGGATCTCCAGGTCCTGCAGAGAGGGAAGCAGCTGCAGAAGACAACCATGACACAACGAAAGAGTTTGTGTTAAGTGGAAAAAGGACAGACAGACAAGGAAATCCTAAAAGGGAGGCTACACCCACCACTTAAACAAAGCTTTTTTTGTGTGGTATGTGGCAGGTCGTGGAGAGTGCAGGGGGCATGGTGGCAGATAGGGCAAAAAGCAGATTGGCATATGGGACAAGGAGCACAGGGCAGGAAACTGAAAGCAGAGCAGTGCATCAGGTAGGGCTACGGGTCGGCAAAACGGAGCCCTGGGCCAGACGTGGGCTGGGAAGGGCTTTGTCCAGCCTGCGGCAGGTCCGTTAATCCTGCCTGGCCCATGCACCGTCTGACCATGGCGCGTCCTGCCACCCTTCGGCACACAGTGGGGCTGGAGCAGCTAGACTGCCTTTCTAGGCAGTCCAGCCAGCAGCGGCTCCTTCCAGCTGCCGCCACTGCTGCCCCCAGCCCTGCGATACCAGTGGGGACCTACGCGCACAGCCCCAACCTGGCCTGCCCTGTACCTACTCCAGACCAGCCTGCCCAGCAGCAGTGGGGGCAGCAGCCAGGCAGAAACTGTTGCTCAGCACTAGGGGAAAGCAAGCCCTTCCCCTCGCCGCTGCCAGGCCCTTCCTGCTGCAGCTGCCCGGAGCCCACATAGGGCTGCCCTGCGGCTCCTGTGCACTTTCACTGCTACCCTGCAGGGCAGCCCAGAGGCAGCGGTGATGGCAGTAGAGACTCAGGGGAGCCAGGCATGGGCTCCAGGCAGCTGTAGCTTGTCTTGACAGCTCACCAAAGCTTGTTAAGCAGCCCTCCAGCCAAAATAATTGCATATGCCTGAGGTAGGGGAAGGACATCAGAGTGGCACCCAGGGAAAGTGTGGAACTTAAGTTGTGGCTTGCCTGCTAAAAAGGTTGGCACCCAATGCTGTATGATGAACAGTTGTACAATAAAATTGTCTTCCCAAGAAAAAACTTTCAATAAATCAAACAATAAAAATGACTAAGCTTAAGGCGGGGAAAAGTTGGAGGTGGGGAGCAGAGTCCCCCAGGGCTCGGTCCTGGGGCCTGCGCTGTTCAATTTCTTCATCAGCAATCTAGATGATGGGGTGGAAAGTAACCTGTTTAAATTCACTGATGACACCAAAATTTGGGGGGAGGTGAGCACGCTAGCAGGGAGTGAGAGATTGCAGAAGGATCTGGATAGGTTACAGGAGTGGGCTAACAGGAACAGGATGCGTTTCAATACGGACAAGTG